TAATCAAATGTAATCTAAGTGAATTTGGAACTTAATTGCTCAATATTTTTTTTTCCTAATGATAAATATGTATTTTTTTGTGCAAGCACCTATTTTTAATTTAAAGTAATTGGAACCTCAATTAAATGTATGTAATTTCAATTTTGAATGAGATTCAATCTATATATATCATAATATATTTACTCTTCATTTTAGCATGGTTAATTATTCCAATCTTGAAATACTTCTCAGATTTTAATGGGCTTTGTCCAACCCTAAACAAACAAAAAAGGTATTAGGAATACATTTACCTTGTTAGAAATACCTAAAAATGTTATTTCTTAAGTTAAGAATAATTTTAAAGGTTAATTTTTCAAATGGTAGTGAATTTTTCCTTTAAATGAATGAAAATTTAACATTTTCCTTTAGATTTTGGAAATTTTCAAATTCACCAATATCGGTGCAGTATCACCTGGATAATAAAAAGCCAAATTAGATGGTCATTCATCAACTGTTTTTTCAATTAGTTATTCTCCTGATGGTACTACATTAGCATCTGGCAGTTTTGATACATCTATCCGTTTATGGGATGTTAAGACAGGATAATTAAAAGCCAAATTAGATGGTCATTCTAATACAGTTTCTTCAGTCAATTTCTCCCCTGATGGAAATACATTAGCATCTGGTAGTGATGATAACTCTATCCGACTTTGGAATGTACAAACATCAAAAGAAATACTTCAATCAGATAGTAACTATAAAGATTTGCTTGCCTAGTTTAACATACCTCTTCAAAATAGCTTCTTATTGCCAAATGGTATTTATTATTAATTATTATTTAGTTAATCCAGATCTTACAATACTTAGAATATGTTAGAATCCTTTATTTGAAGCATCAGGAACACTTATCCTATAAGGACAGTTCATTAATCATTAAGGGAAAGATTTAAAACCTTTGTTTAAATCCAAAGGAAGTTGCTTTTTAGAAGACTTAAAGCAAAAGAAGTGAATTTGAATATTCATTAAGAACATTACAATTATAATTTTAATCATTTTCTTATAACTTTATGAATTATATGTGTTTTTTGTTACTATTTAAATAATAATATTGAGATGTCAGAAACAACAGTTATAAATTCATATTTATAGACGAATAATATACTATTAAATTTATAATATAAACAGCGTAAATAGGTTTAGGTCTTAATAATGATTACTAATAGTTTAGTATAATTTAGATTTTCAGTTCATAATAAACATAATGATACATTTAGAACAAAGTTAAGAAGAAAGATACAATTCAAAAATTAAAAAATAATATCCTTAATTTTAGAATAATCTTAAATGAAACAAAGTTAAAACATTGAAATTGAATGATTTTTAAAATTACTCTACTATAATCTTGGTCATATTTTCGTAAGCTGATATTTATTATTTTCAATTGATATTAAAAGTATTAAATAGAATAAAGGACTGAAAAGATATTAATCATCAATAAATATTCCAACCATTAGAGATCTTAATTATATCCATCCCTAACAATAATCTTAAATAAGCTCTATATGAATTACGTCAATAATAATTTTGTAACAGTTATTAATCATTTAGATAAGAATTGGCATAAAGGTTATTTTAAAAAAATAAGAAAAATGTTCTAATCTATTAATTTGAGTTTAACTCAATTAGACATTAAATTTTCACTAAATTTTTACGTAATTGTATTATTTTCACTTTAAACGTTTTAATGTTATGGCACAAACAGTAAGAGAGCTTCTTGTTATAACAAAAAGAATATCTTTCTATTTTAACATAAATTTCGTTATACCCATTCGGTGAAGAATTATTTTAATATATCTTCAAATAATTGTTATGAAGATAACCCTTCAACTATCTAATATAATGTTCTTCCAGATAGTGGTATTCTTTTCACTAATCTTAGCTCTCACTTACCACCATTCTAAAAATTTCTTAGAATCCCAATTTAGATGCTTAAGGACAAAATTGTTATTAAATTATAAATATCCAATAATTAATTTATTTT